GCTAGGGTCTGGAACCAGCTTCCAAGTGAGGTGGTGCAGGCTCCCACCCTGGGGGTTTTTAAGAGGAGGTTGGATGACCACCTTACTGGGGTCGTTTGACCCCAGTACTCTTTCCTGCCATGGCAGGGGGTCGGACTAGATGATCTGCTCAGGTCCCTTCCGACCCTAGAAGCTATGAAACTATGAAACTTTGGAGGTCTTTAAGGGGAGAGTAAACAAGCACCTCACTAGGATCATCTGACCTCAGCACTCTTTCCTGCCCAGGTCAGGGGGTCGGACTTGATGATCTACTGAGGTCCCATCAGACCCTAAAAAAATCTATGAAATCTATGAAAGGTTTTACAGTTTTGCTTTTCACTTATCAAGGTGGCAACATGAACAAGCATCAAGATAGAGTCAGTTCAGTGTCTTCTATGTAGAAATATTAACTTGGCACTAGAATTATAATATATATCCAAACCTGTATTTGACCATGAAAGGGTGCTCACAGGAAAATAATATAGGATAATAATATTATAAGCAGCATCACTCTGGTAGAAATGCTGAGCTGGTCCATCATTAAGTAATTTATTCTTATTCTTCCTTTGATATTAGCAATGTGAATATTAAAGCAAGTGCCATGGTGCTTTATGGTAAAAGAATAAATTCAGAGGAAACAACCTGTTTTGGCTGCAGGAAGATTTCAGGCAATATGAACCAGTTTGGAAACTTTCCAGGGCAGATCCAGGATTTGTAAAAGGTGGTGTGGAAGTAGCATCCTGTTCTACAGAGGTGGATGCACCTCTCACTCCCAGCACCCCTCCCCAACCCCTGGTGGGCAGACCATGCTACAGGACAAGCAGTCAAGATAGTTTTTTAAGTCTCTCAATCAGGTAGCAATCTTGGAGGGGTGGGGGGAGGTGGGCAGGTTTCAATGCTGCTAGCCAGGCAGACATGGAATCAGGCTTAGCTAGAGATAGCAGAGATGGCTGTGGCAGGTGGTGGGTCCCCTTTCCTTATACCTGCTCATGGGCTGGCAAGGAACATCAGGGGGGCCCTGGCAGGGAGGAAGAACCTTCCTGCTGCTGCCCCTGGATGAGCCACATATGGCCTGGCTAGAGTAGGTAGGAGCAGCTCTGAAGCTCCCTTTCCCCTCCCCAACCCCTGAGGCAGCCGGTGATGGGTGAGGGAAGGAGGAAGGGGATGGGAAGGAAGGTGCAGTGAGCATAGATGGGAAAGGAGAGGGGGGTTCTTACTTACTTCAGGGTCTTAGAAAAAATCCCTGGCTGCTGATCCTGGAAGTTCTCTTCACAGCCATATAAAGGTATGTGTTTATGATCAAACTATACTAGGACTGTGGGAGCCATGAGCATCTGTTTGCTAATGAAGTATGCAGTAAACTCGTATCTAACAAATAGATGTTCCTCTTTAGCAAACAGATGCTCAAACAGATGCTTACTGCTCAGAAATACTAGTTGGGGCTGTTGTTTCCTTTGCATCTTGTCACTTTCACAGAATAAACCCATTTCAATCAGGATTTTCTGAACTGAACTGTAAAACCAGAGATAGTACAAATGGCACCTCACAAGGAACAAAATCTTGCACTGACATCCTAAGCCATGCAAGGGTATTAGCATGTCTCTATTGCTTCTGCAATAGAGTACTACTTAAAATCATGTTCTGTCAACTTGGTTCTTTTCTATATAAGCCAAAAACAGAAATGAGGCAGGGAAATTCACTCCAATACTGCTCATAAGCATGCTGGAGATAGTGGTCTCAAAAAAACACAGGCAGGGATCATAGTCAGGATGATATATCTTCTTCAATTCTAGGTTTGACATGTATGGAGGTGGGCAGGGCAAGATTCTCAACAACACTGTTGTGTAGAAGTGGAAATAGTATAGACATATGCCAGAAGTCTTACTAATGGCCTATGCCTAACCCTTGGTATTAAATATTTAAAGGTCCAAATATCATCAAAGAGAAATATTTATAAGAGAAAAATAGACAGTTGCATGGCACAACATCAGAAATGTACTGTTTACTCAATACTTACACAATGCTCAATATTGTGTTGGGGTTTCTATTGTTAATACACTTAATGGTTGATGATAGGCCTATCTTGAAATGGAAAAATAAATAATATAGCTCACTATACAATTCCTCTTGAGATTTGCTTTTCAGAGACAGAAACACACCAAGTCATTATATGTAGAACAGAGAAAATCCTTGGGTTCTAAGAGTAATTTGAGGACTTGATTTAAAAAAAAATAATTCCTCCTATCCTTTTGCATGATGAATATTTTTTAACACATTACCTGCGATTTGTTTTCTGGTGTCAGCAGGACTTCATCTGGAAAATGGGTCTTATCATCTGTATGAATTTCTTTGTCAGAAGCTGGTGAGGGATTTCAATAGAAGAATATTAACTAATATTAGCAAATAAAAAACTGTCAGTGATCAATCAAGAGTTCTTCAGTCCTCCCCCACTCGAGTTTCATGTGTTGGCATCAAAAGGAAATCATTTGGGGGGGCGGGAATCCCTTCATCTTGCGACATTATAGAAAGACATTAAAAGTCTTTCTATAAACAACATGAAATATTAGCTCTTAGACAACATGGTTCTCTGTGTCTGCTCTCATATTCAGGGATTGGCTATCAAGCCACATAAAAATTCTGAATTCTAATGACAAATTTAGGTTTCATATACCCTGTAAACATTATCATATATTTAGGGGTCTTGTTCAGTTCTGTACTGTTTCAAGCATGTGTTAACTTCTGGTTGAGCTTGTTTCTAAATCAAACTTTTATTAACTGTAGGCTTTTATAGGATAATTCAGTTGCAAACCATAATCTTAGATATTTCATGTGCTTAGGACTTCATAGCATGTTAGATTTTAAATGTCATGTTATAACTGGAAGAGTAGGGTAAAGTGAAGCAAAAGGCACTAAGTTTCCTGGTATATTTGCATTTAAATATTCCATAGAGTATCTAAAAAGAAGGAAATTCTGAATTATTAGGCTATTTTTATCTGACACAAAGTTCTTACCTAGCAGGGCAAAATGTAGGCTATTTTTGCCAATCCATTCTGGAATTTCCTCAGTTGTGATACAATCTAACACAGTTTTCTCTGCTTCGACATATTGTAAATTGGACTTTGCAATCACAAGATTTCTGAAAAGCTTCATTGGAAGCTGTTCCCTATAATTGTTCAAAAAACAAAACAAAATAAACAAACAAGCAAAAACCCAAGAGTTCATTAGGAACTGTTTTCTTGGGGGTTTTTTAAGCATTTTAAGTGCTCAGCAGAGTGTGTATATAGGAAAATATATTGTAAAAATATTTCTCCATCTATTAGGCGATTACAGTTTCCTTTCAGTTTATATTTTTATGAATGTGCAGCATGAATTGACTAAATACAGTTACTTTAGCAATGTATTTTATAGAGTATAAAATTTCAGAGAAAAGTTGTTCAAGTGATTTAGCAATCTGGGTGCATCTACACAAGATGCTTCAAGCAGAGTAGATTAATTCTACTGCACATTAGCACAGCAGGAAAACCCCATGCTAATGAAGTAATGCGCAGTAGAATGCACAATGTCAAAAAAAAGCCTGTGATGACACTAATGTGCAGTAGCGCCAATTATGGAGCATTTAGTACCTGTAATTACAGGTACTAAATTAAATGTATCATAATGATAGTGCATTAATGAACGTGTAGATGCTCCCTGTAAGACCATATATTATATTGTACTTGTTCATCTCATAATGTCCCTGATGGATTTCTTCTACAAAAAGTGAAGTACCATATATACTTGAAACCATTTAATGTGGGGGGGAACCCCTACATCTTGGATTTAAGACAGTTGCTGTGGCTTTGATTCTGGCCCCAGCTTGGTCTTAAGTTTAATTTTGAGGTTGGAGTTGCACTGTAGCTGCTACCTGCCTTCCCCACCACCTCTGGCCCCCTCTACCCCACTACCTCTGCCCCCTTTTGTCTCCTTTACCATCCTCTGCTACCACTTATGCTTCAGCTTCAGCCCTGGTCTAGTCAGGACCATGGAGCCCATGGTTGCTCTGCCCTCTCTCCCCTTCCACCCAGTCATGTAGCAATTGTGGCAGTGGCAGCAACTCAAGTCCTGACTCTGTGCCTCTGGCCAGACCAGCACTGGAGCTGGAAGGAAGCAGAGGTGCAGTGCAGGAGAAAGGGATGGCAGATGGCAGGGTGGGGAGAGGCAGTGGAGGGGTCTGGAGGATGGAGAGAAGTGGAGGGGCAGGTGCTAGGGAGTGGAATCACTGCAGGGGGACAGAAGTCAGGGAATGCAGGCACAGGGAGGGGATGGGACAGGCAACAGAGGGGGCAAATAGTTGGGGGAGCAGGTGGCAAGGGGCAGGGTTCAGGTCACTTGACTCCCCTGCCACCTGCCCCCCCTCACTACTTGCCCCCCTACTGCTGTTTGCCATGCTGCAGCAGTGGGTGGAATGAATTTAAGATGACCCTACAATAATTAGATTTTATACATGGTAAATTATAAAAAATTATAGAATTTCCATCTATAGAATCTAATTATTAGTGGATTGTCTTAAATTCAAAGCCATCTTGGATTTCGGTAAATACAGTAATTGTTCCCAGATTAAACCAGACTTGAAAAATTATTTTAATATGTGAAATCTGCAGTGCCAAAGTAGAGGGTATGACATGTAAATCTACTAAAGGGTGTGTTTGTCCTTGCTGCCAGACAGCAGAGAACATTAAAAAGTTCTGAGTATTGGCTTACAACACATTAAGTCATCCAATTAAACCACTGAGGCATGTTGGCATGGTTACAGGGTGTCCTAAATATGGAAATGGTTTCCAAATATTTGTACAGTAAACTGTAATTTGTTCCTTCCATGATATTATGCAAATATGATCAGTGCATGATGAAATACATAGTGCATTTGTAAGACACTACTTAAGGACTATATTTACCTGAATCCAAATTGAGGTTTTTTTCTCAATCAAAATGGAAGAAAAAAGCCTCATATTAGATTTGAGTACTGACCCAGAGTGGGAAGCTTCTGTGGCCCCCAACTCTAGGTCCAAGACTGAAGCTGGAGCTGAGCCACAACCTGCCCTGGACCAGGGTAGCTGGTGCAGAATTAGAGGGGCATGTGGTGAGGGGGCTCAGGGAGATCATGCAATGGAAGTGGGGGAAGTGCAGAGGATACTGCATAGTGAAGGGGTGTGTGGGGGGAACCCCACAGTGTGAGGCTTGGGGGAGCATGTGGGGGAGAGTTTGCAGTCTGCTCCCCTGCCACCTTCCCCCAACCCCTACAATTGCCACCCTTGTCACTTACCTTTGGCTCAAGCCCTAGCCCTAACCTGGCTGGGCCTAGAGATGCGGCTGCTGTTTCTGGGCTAGGACCACAGCTGGAGTTGGGGTGGTCCCAGCCTGAAGCTGACTGCCCTGAAGCTGGAGACAGAGTCAGACCCACTGCAGAAATGAGGTGGGTGGTGGGGGGCAGGCACCAGAGCAGACAGGTGATAGGAGGGCAGGTGCAGGCACAGTGGTGGGGAAAGGGGCAGGGAGGCAGATGGGAGGGGGCAGGTGGTGGTGA